GAGGGTGTGGCTGAGACAGCCCAGTGGCCGAATCTGTACTCCACCTTCATCCTATAAACCACTGGGGACCTCAGCTGGAGGCTCCTTCATGGAGCCGTTGCCATGGGCATGTATGTGGCAAACTTCACAGACACCCTGGTCTCCTGCCCCTTTTGCGGGCAGAGGGAGACCCTGGTGTACATGACCCTCAAGTGCGCCAGGATGCTGCCCCTCCACCTCCAGAACCCCCTCCTGAGGTTCTGGTTGAATTTCACCCCCACCTTTTTGTTTTTGGTCACCCCATCCACAGCCCCACTGAGTCCCAGGACCTCCTGGTACAATCTCCTCCTGGCCCTGGCCACGTGGGTCCTGTACTTGACCAGGAAGGAGGCTCTGGCCGGGAAGATGCCCAGAGACTACAGGACCACTTTCCTCTCATTTGTCTGTGTATGTTTCCAGGCAGAGCACCAGTGGGCGGTGTCTACTGGCTCCTTGGATGCCTTTGAGGACCAGTGGGTGAGGCCTGGGGGGGCTCTGCTTGGTGTCCCCCTCAGGTGCACTTATTTTCATGTTTTGACCCTTTGACCCACACAACATGCCTATCCTGTTTTTTTCATTATCCCAAGAATTTAGTTTTAACACTCACTAAATAGCCCTACATGGGGTTACTAGTTAGCCAGGTGGGGCCTTAGGGCCCACGGTATGAGTGTTACAAATAGACAGGAGCTTCTGAGGCCCAGACAGTTGACACTAGCCCCCCATGCCAGCTGGACTGCTGCAGCAGCCCTGACCTAGAGTGGCCCCTACACCCTCTACCCACTGCAGCAGTCTGGCAGTGGGGGTTGCTGCCTGGCTGTGACCTGCTGCCACCTGCAACAGTGTCCGCCCCCTTGGACCGGCAGCCCCATGTCTCCACGCCTACCAGACCTGGATGGGGACTGCAAAGCTGCCTGGGCCATGGTATGGGCACTATACCAGAGTCGTCTGCACCTCTGGGCCAGCTGCCAGTGGGCTGTGGCTGCACAGTTAGCCTTCAGGCAGCACTGCGACCATGTATGCCCCTACCCTGTCACCTGGGCAGCTGTCACTTGGAAGATGAGCTCATTGTGGTGCCCTGCTTTGAACTGTCAAAGCATGTCCTTCTGACCCAAATGGCCAAGAGGTCAGCCACCTTGTTTGCCCTCCAGCTGGGTCCCCAGCGCCAGTCCTGGGCAGAATCCAGGCAGAGGAGCCTGCCACTAGTCTCACTAGCAGAGATCCTGGTGTTCCTCATTTAAAAATTGCAAATTCTCTGATAAAAAGAATCCCAAATTCACTCTTTCAAATACCTAAAAATCCACAATTTCAAAGCAATCGAGAAGCCTACCAGTACCTCTCTCATCATAATAAAATAAATTCTAAATAGCTATACACTTTGGTGTTTGCTTTTGGTTTTTCATCATAGAAAACTCAGAGCTCCCCCAACCCGTTCACTAATTAGGATGTGGGGACAGCTGCCCCTGCAGCTACAGCTCCCACCAGCAGGTCCCATGCTGTCTGGCAGCTGGGTACGCAGGGTATGAGATGTGGGTGGGGCTGGGGTTCTTGGGTGGGTGTGGGGGGGCATGGGGGCACCACATGCCCACCCTCCCATCCTCTCCCTGACCCAGGGTCTGCACATGGTGAACAGAGCTGGCCTGCCCAGCTAGCGCATGCCTTTGGACAGGACCAAGACAGCTCCTGCCACTACCCATGGGTCTTGGCCAAAGGCTCACACTAGTGGAGCAGGCTGGGCCAGCTCTGTTCGTCATGTGCAGACCCTGGGTCAGGTGACACCACACCACTGTGGGGCTGTGTCTGCAGCAGGCCACCGCCCAGCTGGCTGCTGCTGCTAGCACCAGGGGGTTGTGCGCTGCGGGGGTGGGCGACGACATATGGCAGCCCCCCCTCAAACCGCCCCTCAAACTGCCTGACAAACCCCACACCCACAAGCCTCCCCCCCCCGAAACTACACAGTCCCCCTACCCCCATATCCCTACTTACCTGGAACAGTGCCTGGGTCCGGGTCACCACTGCAGTCTTGCCCCGCTCCTATTTGCCCCAGCATGCTGAGACAGGGCTGAAGGAGCAGGGGCATAAGGCAGCCAGAGAGACGCTCTGGCCGGATGCTAGAGCATCCCTCTGGAGGACATAGCCTCAGGTTGCTTCAGGGCATCCTCCCGGAGCAAAAAAAAAAAGTGGGAAAAAAAAAAGCACAGTGCATCCTCCTAGAGCAAGCCCTGCACCACTTTTTTCCACATTTTTTTTTTTTTTTTTTATATATCAGGATTTTCCAGTATCAGATTTAGAGTCCATGCTACAAATATGCAGCATGGGGAACATTTTTTTGTTCTTAGCGTGCCTCTTGCAGCATCTCAAACTGCTTTGAAATGCCATAACAGGCACATGCACACTCGTCTGGATGTGCCCACTGAGTCTAATTTCTACCTTCCTGACTGCCATCAGCAGCATACTGCAGTAAGGAAAGCTGTATTTGAACATCCAGCCTTGACTCACATTAAAGACTTCTTTAAATACACTGTACACAACTTCTATAATAAATAACCAATGTTTAACTTTATAATCATAATTTTAAGTCACCTTGCCTACTATTTCCTAATAAAGATCGCCTATACAGAAACAACCTGCAATACATATGCTTTCCCATGGAAATCTCAAGGTCAATAACTAGTGGCTAATTTAAGAATCAAAACAAAAACCATTTACTTCAAGTCCATAATGTGTTACATTGGATGCTAAGGCTGCTATACAATACTACAAAAATGGATAATAGCCAGTGAAAACAGTTATCTCGTTTACACCGGTCTTTGCTGTTACTTACATGCAAAAAGTAAGATAACCTCTAAAATTAGTTTTTCAGTTGGATAATTTGTTTGCATTATTGCTTATAAAAAATGCAATCATTTTACTAAAAATGATACTAAACAGATTGCCTGTAAAATTATTAAAGCGAAAAACATAATAGGACAATTTATACTTTGTAACATGGTTCAACTCATCTTACAAAGCAGGTGGACCTAATGTATAGCATGTCATGTAAAAGTTGATATCAAACAAACAGGAATAATCCTCAGGAAGAAGTGCCCCAATCACGATCAAGAAAACTTAAGAGAAAAGCTTGCTCTGTAAGATGACAAGGCCCATAACACGCCCCTTCCCCGACGCTAAGACAGAGCAAAAGAAAGATGCATAAGCCAGAAGGTCATAAGGTTTAGGTACTGATCCTGTGAAGGCCCAGGGGGGGCCGTGAATGGAAGTTGAAGCTTGTACACGTCACAGGGGTTTAATTCAGTTTAGCTCTCCTTAAATTGAAATGGTGGGTTTTTAAAAACACCGCTCCAATTTAGGGAGAATTAAACCAAACTAAATCCCTGTGGCATGTACACAAGAGTGGAGCCCCGATCCTTACCTGCCTATTTGGCAGGGGTGGGGAGAGCTGATGCCGGGCTGAGTGGTCCCGAGCTGCACAGGGGCCCCCCAGGCAGCATCCACCCGCTGGGACCTGCCCAGGCAGTCTGGGGTAAGGGGGAAGGTATTGTGCTGCAGCTGCAGAGAGAAGCACCAGACCCACCCCAGAGCTCAGGCAGGCAGGCAGGCTGGCTCGCTCTGGGGAGAAAAAAAAAAAAAAAAAAAAAAAAAAAGACCAGGCTCACTGGGGTTTTTTTTTTTTTTTTTCCATTACAGCCTGCCCACACAGGCTGCCACCAGGTCCCACAGCCCCTGAGCAACACAGGGCCTGGCAAGTCCTGAGCACATTGGCTTCCAGCGTCCCATGCACTGTTGCACTTTGTTAGGTAGCAAACTAAAGCACCATGGAGGTGTTTTATCTTGCTACGTACCAAAGTCATTTAAAGTGGAATACGCCATCGAGTGTGCAAACAGCAATGCCATTAAAGTGGTGCAAAAGGGCATTTAAGCCGCTTTAAAGGCCAATTTTGTGGTGTGTACAAAGGCCCGTTCACTACAGCTAGTTGGAAAGTGCTTCTGCCCACAATAACAAGTGTTGATAAAAACAACTCTGTCACAAGAAGAGTGGGTTTTTCATCAAAACAGGCTTTGCTGCAAAACAGACCGCTTCCCCTCAAGTCAGTTTCCTCTGAACCCAAAAAAACAGTTCCTGTTGAAATGGCTTCTGACACACCATCTGCAACCAGCTCCAGCGGTGATTCCCCACCAGGGTGATTCCCAGTCAGGCACCTCAGTCGCCTTCAGATCCTTCTAAGGGTGCTGCAGGGCAGGGCAGGGCGCCACCCCACCCCCTGCCAGCGCCCCCAGGTATGCGGACCTGCTCCACCACCTACACCAGACTGCAAAACGGCCTCGGCAGCCTCCAAGCCCCGGGACTTCCCAAGCTCTGGCACGGAGAAGCTGCCCTGTCCTTCTCCCAGAGTGGAGGAGCGAGTGGGAAGGCCGAGGCAGAAGGCAGCACCTTGCCGGGGGCGGCTCCAGCGGGAGGAGGCTGACAGGGGCCAGGCCCGGGGACCGCCGAGAGCTCCGGCCCAGGGGGTGGGGCACGG